GGCCAAAACACTTGGCATTACATAAAGCAAATGGCCATAAAACGGAAAAGGGAACTGCGAAACAGCCAAAGAAAGAGAAGCAGAGGCAGCGGCAGCGGCAGCGGCAGAAGACCGTCTTGACCGTTGCCAGTAATTGTCGCCCCTAGAAGCAGAGCAGGAGCATGGGCAGGGGCAGGGGCAGAGCCTTTTGTTCGAATTTTTTACACATGAATAGTTGCCGGACGGAGCTCGAACCTCGGACCCCCTGCCGCTTGACAGATTTAATTTAATTGTAACTGAAAGCGACGTGGCCCAGCACTCTCTCCCTAGCTGAATTTTTATTTGATTTTTATTTGATTTCAGTTTTTAATGCGCTGCCACCTCGAAGTCTGTCGCTCTCCCCCGCTGCCGCCATTAACAATTAGCGAGGGAGACTCACTCCAGACTCACTCTATTCAATTGTGTGTCAGGGTGCCTCCTTGGTTTGTCTATTTCTGCACAAAAGTACTGTATAAACAAACCCTTTCCCATATGTTTCGTACACCCATCAATATCATCAGCTTAAGGTACAACTCCACAGCTTCGTGAACTCATTTCTAGCTGATTTTATTGCAATGATTTGAAGCAAATTATGCAAATGTTTGCACTTATTCGTAACAACATTTTTGTTACTCATATTCGGGAGGGGTGGGGCGGGGGGGCTACACTCCTCCCTTCCGTTTGCTGTTCTCTTCTGGCCCTGCCTTGGCTTGTGCCTGCATCTGCTGCCAATATTGACAAGATTTTTATTTAAATTTCGCTGCCAATTTCTTGGCTGTGGAGTTTCCGGCAATGTCATTGGGCTTTCCACTCTCCACTCTCCACTCTGCCACTCTGGCCATATCCTGTGCTCTGGCTCTGTGTGCATATTTTTGCCAAATCAGCAAATGTTGCCGTTGTCAAGTGAAGTTCTGGCGCTGGCTGCTGGCTGCTGGCTGCCATGTCTCCATGTCTCCATTCGCAGATTTCCTTCTTCTTTTTTCTTCTTCCATCTCCAGGAGGAGCGTAACAGTGCTGCCTGCCAGAGCAAATGCCACTAATATGAAAGCAAATTTGCATAATAATTTTTACCAGATTTTGTGCCAGAGAGAGAGAGATCAGCCCCTCCTGTCTCCTGTCTCCTACTTCCCTTTGCTTTCTTTGCTTTAAATTTTAACTTTAAAGTAGACTTTAAAACCTGGCATGACCCAACCTACGCGCCATAATCATAAAGCCCTTATTTATTTCCGCTTTGAGGTCAATTTTGAGCCGCTCCCGCTGCTGCTTTCCAAACAAATTGAATTTAATGTCATTTAATGAGAAAATTAATTAAAGCAATTTAATTTATGGCCACACAGGGCTGGCATATTTTTTATATCCCCAAGTGACATTGTCTATCTCTATCTCTATCTCTATCTCTATCCCTGTCTTCTGTCTCTGTTGCACTGTTGCATTGTGCGTCCCCCCCCCCCCCCCCCCCGGGGGGGGACTCAAAGGAAACCGCGGATAAATATTCCATCACATTTGTCCAACACAAAAAACCGAGCTTGGTTTTGTTTTTTTGTGAGCTTTTTGCTGCTTTGCGAAAATAATTATTAATAATTGAATTTATGGTACAATGATTTGTGATTTGGGCAGAGCGCGGAATGCTGTATATTGGGAGACTTGCCCTTAGTCTGGCCTGGATTTCGAGCTCATTTTTCCATTTAATTTCTCGTATTCTCTGTTTCAAAGCAAAAACTAATAAAAGTCTTCCAAGGAAACACTTAAAGGACCCCTCAAAATCGAATGTATTGCGTGTCACATACATCGCAGCATCGATTCCAGAGTTCATTTATTCACACACCTTCCAGGGCCAGCGCCAGCGCCAGAGTTCTGGTCTCCCTCAGCTTCTTTTGCCATAAAAATAATTGGCAATAAATGCGCTAAAAGTCAAAACAAAATGCCAATTGTTGGGCAGGGCAGGGCAGGGCAGGATGGGGAATGTGCTGGGTAGCTGGAATAAGAAACGGCATAAGGAATCAACACATTGCTTTTAATTAATGGCGTGGCGTGGCGTGGCTTGGCTCCTTAGCCTTACCGTTGCCTGTTTTTATGAGCCTTGGCCTGCCATCTGTGTGTGTGTGTGTGTGTGTGTGTGTGGCATCAAATGTTTGCTTGCGTGTGTCGCCTCAAGTGCGTTCGGTTATAATTTTATGTGCAATTAATTTGCCACAGCGGAGAGCAGACACGCAAAGACAGCCAACGACAGGCTGCACTTTTTGCTTCAACTAATGAGTGGCTGGCACTTGTACTTGTACTTGTGTGTGTGTGTGTGTGTGTGTGTGTGTGTCTGGCAGCACTCCTAATGTCCGCCGTGTTGTGGCAATTAATGTCAATGGCATTTTTATGGCTACAGAGGAAGGTGAAGGAAATTATCCCATTTTATGCTCTCCCGCCTTAGTGACTTTTAGTACAGATGTTGGTCTGCTTAAAGTTGCTTTTAGAAGCAGTAAAAGCAAGCTCTTTGTTGCCATTTTGCTACATTGCGGTCAATCAATATAATTTACATTCTGAACCAAATTTAGTTGATGCTACGATTCTGCTGCCTTGAAACTTTATTCCCTGCTGATGCTACCCTTTCCATTAGCTGCCCACACACAGAGAAATGTGCATACAAAAGCCTCACTCAACCCACACGAAAATAAATGCCAGCCTCAGCGTAAAATCATGCAGCAAACGGGATAATGGTCCACAAAATGGGGCATTTTCCGATTGATTTTTGCTGTTTTTTGGGGGGTGGCGGTTGGGGGGTGCACAATTTACGTGTGTTGGGCCTTTGCTGAGGCAAAATCTCTAATTAGCTAATTGCTATAATTAAATGTTTTGCTAATGTTGGCATTTCGTTTAACGAGAGAGAGACGCAAGGATAATGTAAATATTCTGAGGGTGCTCGCAGCTCGCAGCTCCCTGCTGCCACCCCGAGTGGCAGTGGTCGTGTTCATGAGCGTGTGGGCTCCATTCTCCATTCTCCATCATTGGAAGCATTGTTATTATTGCGGTGGGTACTGGTCCTGGTGCTGCGTAGTGCTCCCCACTGTTCTCTGCTTAATGCCAAATCGAACATATTTGCATATGAAATGAGCGAAAAATCGAAACAGCCAGGACCCAGCCAGCTCGTAGCTGCCTGCCCCCCCACACACACACACAGATAAAATGGTTACCCCGGTCGATTTCCGGCACAGACAACATGACATTTTAAACGACTCTTTGGGCTTACGTGTGGATGTGGCGGGAGGACACACACCCGTGCCCGTGCCCCTGACTTGGCTTATTATTATGCAAAATCGATGGACAGAGGGAGCTGAATGCTGGGTGCTGGGTGCTGGGGCACAAAACCCATTTATTATCATTATAAATTATGCATTGCATTATCGGGGGGATCGACTGTGGCGCAACTTCACGACTTAGCAGAGTCCACGAGCAAGTGACCCCCCCCCCCCCCCATGGACTGGGCCACCGCTGCGTATGAGCGATGTAATTGAGTTGAGGAACTGCTGCCGTCTGGCTGTCTGCCGCCATCTGCGGCTGCCTGCCTGCCAATGGACTTTAATAACTCTGTTTTTCAACTGTTTTTCCTCAGTGTTTTTGTCCCTCTGCTCCTCCTCGCTCCCACGCGAAATGCAAATTAGTCGAAAACTGAATTTGAATAAGTCACAGATACAGATGCACAGATACACAGATACAAAACACCGCCACACAGCGGGGGTGGCCAGCTCTGCGACGAGGGACTGTCCCGCGAAAAAGGGTTCGAAAACTTTTTGAAGACTCAAAATTAAGACTTGGACCAAAAATCTTTTAAAATTTAAATTAAAACGGAATTTTAGGGCCAGTGATCATCAATGACTGCCGATGTCGGGGATACCCTGTAAATTTATTTTTGAGACTTTCCTTGCAGAGAGTTTTAATTTTTTTGATTTTTATGCCGAAAAAGTGCACAGATTTAGCTTAAAGCGAAAGTGGAGTGCTAAGTGGAGCCAAAAGATAGTGTTTGGCTTGCTCTAAAATCTTCATAGTCCTGCCCTGCCGTAGGATCCCTCACTCAACAAAAAAACATCCATCCATCCCCATCCCTGCAGCTTTCCCCAGCCAGAGGAACCCAAAATGAATGTCAACTTCAAACAACAAACCCTCCTTCTCTTTCCCTCCATCGCCTTATCTCTGCCCCAACCCCAACCCCACCCCCTGTCCATCTCCCTCTATCTCTGCCTCCATCTCTTTTGCATTGTAATATTTTTGAGGGCCCCAGCTCGAAAATAATGAAAAGGCAAACGAATTTTAAGTGCAGGCCAAAAATAACACAAATAAATGCCAAAGCCAGAGCCGGAGCAACGGAAATTGTTAAGAGCAAAGACTCGGAAAATAAGCCAAAGCCAAAGGACATGGCTCAAACAAAAAAAAAATGACGCAAAAGCGTGGCCCAAACAAAAATGAGAAGGAAAACGCGAAAGCAAAACAAAAAGAAACGAATGCCTTGAAAGCCAAAAAGAAATTAGCATAGAAAAAGGATTTGCTCGCTAATTTCACTTTAATGTGAAGATGCGGCCAAGACAGGACCGACGCAGGACGCAGGACGCAGGACGATGAAGACGTCGCGCCCATTACGTCACTTTTATCTTTAGCTCCGTCTGTCGCTCTCTCTCTCTCTCCCTGGTGTCCCTGCTGGTTGTTCTTTCTCTCTGTTGTTTATGGCATTATTAGTGGGTCCCAAAAGCTGCAGATCGCAGCGCTCTTTTTGTTTTGTCGTGGAAAACAAAGTGCTAATGCCCTGAGCTAATTATACATCATTTGTTAAGCGCCGATGCTGCCGCCACTTCTTCCGCTTCCGGTTCATACATTTTTCCGCCTTTTCTTGTGCCTTTTGTGTCGCCATTCCATTCCATTCCATTCCATTCCATTCCATCACTTGCTTGAACATTTTCCTCAACGTTTCTTTGCTTTATTTCTTGTGTGTTTCTTTGCAGGTCCGCCCGTTCTGTCCGAGTCCATAATGGGCACCGTCGGCCGACTGCCCTGCAACGTGACGCCGCCCATTTACGAGGATCGTGTGGCACTGGTTATCTGGTACAAGGTGGGCCTGAAGACGCCCATTTACAGGTGAGTGTCGCAAGTGGGTTTCCAGCCCCTTCAGGGCCCATTCAATCGGTAAAGCTTTTGTGTCAACTGCAGCCCAGGCAGCGGACCTGCCCCTCCAACCTTTTGACCGCAAAAACATTTCAATGCAGAGACAGAGACAGAGACAGAGACACACATAGACAGGGGCGGTGGCCGAGTGGGGCGGGGTGGTGGCTCATAAATAAACAAAATTGATTACCACAGACAACTTTTGACGCACTCAACCCGCTGGCCACTCAAAGCAAAGCAGCAAACAAACACACACAAACAGATGAACAGAGAGAGAGAGAGAGAGATACGAGAGCAGACAGCACAGATACACAGCTACAGCTACAGCCAGCAGATAGATGAGCCAGAAAATGCCAACATTAAAGGAGAAAAACCCACCACACAGGGACCTGCACATGTCAGGCTTTTCGTTTTTCGTTTTTCGTTTTTCGTTTTACATTTTCATTTAGATTTTTGATTTAATGTCTGCTAATTAAGGCATACGGCAGGCAGTGTCCGTCTGGCATGTAAATTAGCATAACTAGAAAATTATACAGGGCCTGAGCCACCCACGAATTTGGGGCAAAGTTTGTGCACTGGAGAGAACAGTGTCTAAGGGGGGGAGTGTGGAGTGTGGGAAACATAGCTCCAAGGTTACATTTGATGGCACCAAAAAACTTTTTCAATTATTCATGTCTGACATTATGTTCTGGCTGCCAACTGTGCAAAGTATCTCCCTCCCCGCACACAGATACACACACATTCGTAGTGGCATTTCCATTTCCATTTCCAGTTACAGAGCACATCAAAGGCGTGAAACTTTAATTGGATTTGTCCGCCAGCAAGAGGCAGGGAGGGAGCTAGGCAGGGGCAATGGCAGCAAGGGGCATGTGTGTGTGTGTGTGTGTGTGTGTGTGGTGCTGATTAGCTGATTGCCAGGCAGCGGCGGCGGCTAAAACTAATTGAACTTTCGGTCAGGGGCTCAAGGACAACATTTCCAAGGCAAATGACTAGAGCAAAAATCCTCTCGCGAGAGACTCGCTGTAATTAGCGTTGCACAACGACCGCTGGCAGCTCTTGTTGGTAATTAAAAACCACTCAGCAAGTAAATTAATCATAAAAGAAACTCCAGCCACTCCTTTTTCGGCCACATTCGGCCCGTGCCTCGGGGTGAGCATTTCATTTTGCAGCTCTTGCTGCCATTCCGTCAAAGCCATTGACTTTTTATTGCCACAGCGTCAGGACAGGAACCTCATTATGTGCCACTGGAAGAAGCACTGCCGCTGCCACTGCCACACTTCCCCATCGAGCATCAAGCATAGGAATAAAGAGCCATCTCCGCCATATGTTCACCAACAAATCAAAATTGAAAAGCAATAAAACACAGACTCCAGCAATTGGAGAAGCTGTCAGAGAAAACGAGCAGAAAGGGCAGGAATAGGGAGAGAAATCCACCTTAGAGAAGGGACTGCCAGGAGAGTAGGGGAAAAGACACTGCCACAGATACACATATGAAAGGAACTGCAGTTAAGGTTTACTCAAGTGCAAAGCGTATTTGTGTGGCATTTCCTATAGAAGAAAAAGCTACAAATATTTACAAATTTCCACCTGCTCCCTCCCTGTCCATCTTTAATTCATAATTTTCGGGTGGAAAACTCAACTCAACTCAGCAGCAATTTACAGCATTTGCTGCATAATTAACTGCGAGTTAAGAGCGAGAGAGAGAGGCGCAGCCAATTAACTCGGCCACTTGGACAAGTGTTGACCTAAATCAGGGCGCTGCCAGACCCCGCCCACCGGCTCGGGGAAAACCCCAGAGAAGCCGAGAAGCCCAGAAGCCAGAAATGGCTTATCCAAACTTTAAGGCCATTGATTGACCAACAAAAATGAGTCTCATTACACCGAAATATATCGATGGGGAAAGTAAATCAATAATCGGAAAACATTCAAGCAAAAATAACAATAAATAACAATGTGGGGCAGGTGCAGGGGCGGGAGTGGGCATGGTTTATTAATTCATTGCAGAACCCAATTAAGGCGGAGGGGAAGAAAAACTTTCAACGTGCCTTTGCCGCTGCCTTTACCTCTTGTTTTCATTTGTGGGGAAATTCCATTTAAAATCAACCTCTCTGACGCTCGTTTTTATCGTCCATTTTCCTTCATTTTCGCACAGTGTGGATACGCGGGACTCGAACTTTGCCCAGGGCACCCACTGGTCAGATGAAACGTATCGGGAGCGCTTGTCCTTTCACGTGGAAGGACGTGCCGGCACGCTGAGCATCAAGTCAACAACGGAGGACGATACGGGCGAGTATCGGTGTCGCGTGGACTTCCAAAAGAGTCCGACGCGTAACTCCAAAGTGAATTTAACAGTCATAAGTAAGTAGAAACATATTGATAGAGTACACTCCGGTCTCCGAGGGGCACGGATCGGGCCACTGCCCAGCAGCATAATTGAGCAGCTAATTTGTGCAGCGACATATCCTGTGTCTGGCTCTGAATCTCTGCTTGTGCCTTGGAGCAAGCCGCAGCCACCACTCAGCTCTTGGACAAACACATTAGTTACAGAAGAAAGACGCCAACTGTATGCTCGGGCTGCCAAGTTTCCGGCAACCCCAACCCAATCCCCTACGCTCTCTGCAAACAGCTTTTAAAGTGCAAACTTGGCCCCAAAAGTTGCAGCTTCTCGGGCGGGTTAAAGCTGCCCCCCAAGGACAGCGCCAGGAACAAGTTTTGAATTCAATTTTTCTTATCCTATTTTCTGCTGCTCTTTTTTTTCGGCCATTTAAATGGATTTTTCCCAATTCTTCTCTGCAGAAATTGATTCGTTGGGAAAAAAAGAGAAAGAGCCAAGTATCTTGAAACCTTTGCTGTTTTTTAATCCCTTTTTGTGGCCATGCCACACATATGTATGAGAATGAGCCCCAGCTCCCTGCCAAGTGCACTTTTGTTCCTCCAGGAATTTCCAGGGTAGCTGAAAGCTGCACAGGACTTGAGTGGATGCTTGAAAGAAACATTTTTGTGTGTGTGGGCAGCTATAACTTTTTTCTTTCCAATTAAAAATCGAATCCCCTGGCATGGAGGGGTATTCCCTGCTTCCACTCTCCTTGCCTGTCCCTTTGGATAATCCCTTTCTTTAAGGAGCCTTCTCCAATTGCAATTTCATTCCTTGGGTTTTTCGGAATGCCTTTCCCTCCACCTGTGCACTGAGGCGCTCGCTGCTGCCTGCTGCCTGCTGCCTGGTGGCTGTGGCCTGCAATTTACCATTAAAATTTATATGCGTTTTCCAAAGGCGTTTAGCCGTCGAGATATATGGCCAAAAGGGAGACCGGGAGGAGGGTGAGTGTAGGAGAGGGCAGACTGGTCGAATATTGTTTGGTAAATAGTTTCTGCTGCTGCTGCTGCTGCCAGATGAAGCGTAAAGGGAGGGCGTGGCGGCTGTGTTTTTACCAACTTCTTGAGCATGTTCAACATGCCCCCACACACACACACACACACAAACACTGGGCCAAGTGGCATGTGTGTGGCTGTGACATGTGAAGCGTAAAACCAACGCAGGATTTACAGAACTTTGTAAAAAAAAAAAAAAGAAACTTTAAAGAAGATATTAGATTAAAAGTTGCGCCCCCCCAGGAAAAGTTTCTCGGGGGCAACAACTTGCTCTAGCTGTGGGCAGGGCAGAGGAGTGTGGGGCAGAGCGGATAATCAGTCGGGTTAGAGCCAAGTGGGCTAAACGCTCCGGCAAGCGGCAGTGTCAAAGCTGCGGCACGAGAAATTAAAAACTTTGTGGGCACAACAAGAGACAAATGCTGCTGAATATTCTGACTAATTTCACTTGTTATTTTCTTACTCTACCACGGAACAGTACCGCCCGAATCCGTCATCATTTTGGACAGCAAGGGGGCGACCATTAAGGACCACACCCTGGGGCCCTACAACGAGGGATCCGCCATCAACATTACGTGCGTGGCCATCGGCGGTAAGTTCCCTTTTCAGCAGCAGCAGCTGGAGCTGAAGCTGAAGCTGGAGCTGAAGCTGAAGCATCAGCCACGTGTCGTCGCCTGTCTCGCTGTCTCCCTGTCTCTCTCCCTCTCGCTCTGTGTGTGTGCGGAAAAGTGTTGACGCTGTGACGCGCTTCTTGTGTCTGACAATTAAAAGTGATGAGTGAGCCTGAGTCTGAGCGCGGTGCGTCTGTGCTGCAGGCGAAAAGATTTTCACATTTTCACATTTTATTTAATTTCCACACGGCTAGCTGTCTGCTGCATGCCACATGGATACACAACGAGACACGGAGAGAGAGAGAGAGAGAGAGAGGTGGAGCGAGGCAGACACAATGGCCCCACAAATTGCACTGAGAGCACTTGGAAATTGCTAAAAGCCAAACAAGACAACAAATGAAACAGCGAAAGGCACTTGTACACACACACACAGACAGACACACACACAGACAGACAGCACACACACTCCATGAACTTCTTGCAGCAGTTGCTGAACAAACAGCAGAGCAACGAGCGGCAAAGGACTCGCCAAGTCCAAGCCGTATAACAAACATATCAGTTGCAAGCACACACACACACAGACACACACACACACAGACAGACAGACAGCTCTTACTACCTCCCCCTTAACCATCTTACCACAACACACACTCGATAATTCTTTCGCTTGCTCGCTCATCCTTCCACCCACAGGTCGACCACAGCCGAGGGTTACCTGGCTGCATGGGAATACCATCTACAAGAACGCCAGCGTCGGCCACTCCCTCTCGGAGCGCAGGGTGGGCAATGTCCTATCGCTGGCACGCCTGGAGCGCCGGAATCTTCACATGCAGCTTACGTGTCGGGCGGAGAACAATAATTTGACAACGCCAATTATCAGCAGCGTCGTACTCGACATGAACTGTGAGTGTGCCAGCAGTCCCCTTTCCAATCCTCACTCTCTAAATCCTCTCTCTCTCTCTCTCTCTCTCTCTCTGTTTGCCTTTCAGTGCGTCCTTTGATTGTTAAGCTGCAGGGCGAGAATCGCCCACTGTCGGCGGGTAACTCTTATCAACTGAGTTGCGTTGTCATTGGGGCACGTCCAGCGCCAACGATTACCTGGTGGAAGGGCAGCAGCCCCATGAAGAATACCCACGAGATTGTAAGTGAAACGAAACCCGAGAAACCCTTTTACAACTAGAAGCGAGTGTCCCGAGGAGAGCTACAGATACTGGCAGTTGTTTCTGCTGGAAAAAGCAAATACCCAGCAGTAATTCGGTGAAAACACTTCCCAGAACCCACTCAGACTTTGTCTCAGCAGTCATGTCCGCTCTGCTACCCCTTGTATAATGTTTAGAAACATGCAAATTTTGCATCCCTCCATGCCACATGCCACATGCCACATGCCACATGCTTTCTGCGGTAATTGAAGCTGAAGGAGAAGCTGAAGCAGGAGCTGCACAGTCGAGGCCGCAATGGCAGTCACGTACCAGTCACCGGGCTCCAATTAAAACCAGCCCCCAAATCTTTGTCGATGAAACGTGCCCGAGTCCAGCTCCGTTCCGCTAGGACAACCCTTTCTTTGGGCCTCCCTGCTTTGTGTGTTTTGACTGCTTTTAATTCTGGCTTCTGTTCATTACTTTTCGCAGGCCAATCCGGATGGAAATATGACCACCTCCGTGCTCACATTCACGCCCACCATCGATGATCGCGGCAAGTTCTTGTCCTGCCGCGCCGAGCAGAGCATGATACCCGAGTCGGGCTTGGAGGATGGCTGGAAATTGGACATTTATCGTGAGTTTTCCCTACCCTAAATATTTAATGTTTTCCTCCGCCGCTTGCAACTTTTTAATGAAAACGAAAGGCACAAAAGTCCTTTAAAGGGAAGCCTGTACAAAAATCGGGAATCGCCTGGCCCCACTCTTTCTATAGGTTTTACGTCGATAGGTTTACCCCACACCCACACCCACAGCCACACCCACTCCCGCTTGGGCTGCTGCAAGTTTTGGCAAATTAATTTCCAGCGGCGGCGAAACTTTTGCACAAAACTTGCGAAACTTTTTAACCCGCCACAGGCACCGCAGCCGCAGCAGCCATAGCCATAGCCATAGCCAGAGTCATAGCCAGAGTCATCTTAACGCTTTTACAGTTTTCCCGACCTGTTTGCACGAAATTTAAATGGCCAAAAGCGCCAGGGGGTGGAGGGCCTTGCCATGCCGAACCGCTTCCTGTTTGCCCCCTGAAAGTGCGGTTTTTGTTGCTTACCTTTTTACTTTTCTGGCCCCAACCCCACCCTCTGGCCTTGTTTCGATTGAAATATCCCCCCCCCCCCCCCTCGCAGGCGGGGAGCTATAGGGGATTGGGCATTGTGGATTGGGGGCTTGGGCTTGTTTGCACAATTTGATAGATTGCTTAATAAGCTTAATTGATTCGCATTCGCGCTACAATTCTGAATTAATCAACTTAAAATTGGACTACCAGCTACCCCATCTACTCCCACTCCCACTCCCCTGAACTTGGGCAACATTTTTGAGGCCTAATTGCCAGTTTCGGGGCAAGAGCAAGAGAAGAGAAAGAGATTGAGTTCTTTGGTGGATTGATTGGAACACTGACAGTACCCAGGAAAAAGGCATTTTCTACACTTTATTGTCTCCCCCGTGCCCAATATACCCAGAAAAAAACCCCACAAATACCTCTAAATTCCAGACAAACAGAAGCGCCGACGGATAGCAGGCTGGCGGCCAACTTACAACTTAAATGGCCGTCTAATTTGTGGGGCTTACACAATAATTACACACCTTTGGGCGGGCTGAGGATATTCCAGGCTGGCTGGGGGCAGGAACTCGCGACTCGGCTGTCTAAGGGGATTCGCGTGTGTCTGAGCCTGGGACGAGGCAACTCAAAGTAATGGGGCCAGCAGCTGCCATGGCTAACCCGCGATTTCTTTTGTGCTTTTGTGCTTATCCTTTTGACTAACGAGAGATGATTCCTCTACGTTTACCCACACAGATATACCCGTTGTCAGCCTGGAGCTGGGCACCAACTCGCTGAATGCGACACTGCGCGAGGGCATCGATGTCTTCTTCGAGTGCAACATCAAATCGAATCCATGGATCTACAAAGTCAGTTGGCGGCATAATGTAAGTGTGCAAGCCTTAGACAATAAGTTGAAGGAATTTACTGATGGAACTTCCACACTTTATACACCAAACACAGCGCTTGTCTAGCGCTAACTTGGGTACAAAAATCCACTAAAAGGCACCCAAAATCGAACATTTTCGTTGGCATAAATCGAAGGAAAAGCCTTCCCCCTATTACTTAATTTTCCATTGGTTCTTTGCTGTGGAAAAGCTTCGTTTTTGGGCCGGCCTCAAGCACCATATTATTATTATAATTTCCATTATATTTGCCTCATAAATTACCTGCTGCTGGTTGGTTGCTGGAGGCGTGGCGTTGCTGCCTCTGTAATTGTTGCATATTTCAGGTGTGCGCCACAGAAAATAAAAATTGAATTCAAAAACGTAAATTGAATGCTACACACACACACACACACACACACACAGACATACATCTAGAATTTGTTAGCCCCTCCCCAACCCACGCACTTGGCAAAATTTATGCAGCCGGATGCCTAATTTATTCCGGCTTCCTCAATCAGCCGCACGGCCACTGCCACTGCCACTGCCACAGCCAGGGGCATGCATCGTTCAACGTATGCAGGGGTTGGGGGGAATGCTGGGGCATGCCACATGCCACATAAATGTGTTATTAGCCGGAGAAATTAAATTTAATTCAAACTCCCGCCAGTTAAACGTAAATTGAATTTCGATTTCAATTTGCGACTACAATTTCCCCCCTCCCCTGCCTACCCCGCCTAACGCTTCTTACATTTGCTTCCTCCCCGCAGGGCGCCATTCTAGCCAACAATCCCGCCGAAGGCATTGCGGTGTCCAACCAAAGTTTGGTGCTGCAAAATGCCAGCCGTGCCCGCAGCGGCATCTACACCTGCGTGGGCAGCAATCGAGAGGGCGACGGCGAGAGCAATCCCGTGCAGCTGGACATTCGATGTGAGTATGCCCGAAGGGTGCCCAAAGGTGGCCCCGAAGCTTCTCGAATTGATTAATCAAAGTGTTAATTTGCATAACATCTTAATCAAAAGGGAATTAGGGATTTTTGCTCATGCAATTTGTTGCACAATTGCAATTAAATCAAAGGACAAGCACAGGAGTTCCTTTCTGCTCAGACTTGTCTTTCTGCCTGTCAGTGGAGAAGACAAATTGCATGATGCAATTGTTAAAATAAATCAATTGAATGGCAAACAAAGTTTCTTGCAGCAAAATTCGCTCAAGGATTTAATGGCAGCAACGCACAGAAGCGGAAATCTTCCTCTCTCTGTCTCTCTGTCTCTCTGTCTGCTTTATTTTGCTTTAATTATGCAAATCTTTTCGTTTGTTGCAGTTGCACCTGTCTGCCGCAGCAACCAGCGCACCACCTACAGCTCCGGGCGGCACGAGACGGTGAAGGTGGCCTGCGAGATCGATGCCAATCCCATGGAGGCCAGCTATGTGTGGAAGTTTAATGCCAGCCAGGGTGAGACCGTGGACATACCCGCCTCCCAGGTGGCCGTGGACCGTGGACGCAGCATTGCCCACTACACGCCCATGACGGAGAATGTAAGTGCCAAAAGCAAGCACTTCCCCTTGTTTCCCCCCTCGCTGGCACCTCATATAAATCAGCAGCCGCTGTGACACCGACTGAAGGCGGACACATAATTTTCCAAACGAGTTGCGGTTTTGAATTTTCAATTAAGACTGCCGGTTGCTGTGTGTTGCATGTTGCATGCATAAATTAAGCCAACGAAAAGGCATTGTCACTCATCCGCCAGTAGCCAGCCACCGTGACACCCCCACTGTGCTGCCGCTGCCGCTGCCACTGCCACTGCTCATCTGTGTCCTTCTTTTGCCTTCTTTTGCAGGACTACGGCACACTGCTGTGTTGGGCCACCAACGAGATTGGCGATCAGAGCGAACCCTGCGTGTACACAATAGTCCCTGCAGGTGAGTGTTGCAACACAGCCCCCGAGGGGTCCGCTATTCCGCTCTTTGTTGCTGCTGACTCGACCCCCCGCTGTGCTTATTTGCCAATGACTTGGGCGGGCACTCGCCTTCAGCGCTTCTAAGGCAGCTAAAATATTTCCTGAACTAATAGTTCTTCTCTCCTTTTTGTGTCACTCTTAGGCGAACCGGATCCGTTGCTAAATTGCACGGTGCTCAATCAGACATCGACGGGCTTCCAAATCGAGTGCATCGAGGGCTTTGATGGCGGCCTGCAGCAGGACTTTATAATGGAGGTTTATGTGAATGGAACGACCCGCAATCCAAAATTTTCCAAATCAAAGTGAGTAGAGGAAGAGGAAGCAGCCAGGCCTCTGCTAGAGACATGGAACTGTGCATAGGAGAGGACATCCAAAAATGGACACAGAGCAATCAGAATCACACGCCGTGTGACTTTTGCATTACAACAAACCCAACGATGCGTGGCATTGGGCATTGGACATGTCCTAGGCTACCATTTCCTCCACTCTGATGTGTGCATTTCCATGTGCTGCTGCTGCTGCTGCTGCTCTGGCTCGTGGCTGTTGGCTTTTTTGTGGTTTTGTGCTCTAGTATCGATTCGTTTGTTGCAGTCGACCGTACTTCGAGGTGAGCGGCCTGGTGCCCGGCATGGGCTACAATGTCTTTCTCATCGCCAACAACAGCAAGGGACGTAGCAATGCGACCATTTTGCAGGTCTACACACTGAAGGATCCCGAGAAGCAAACGGGTGAGTCCTTAGGCAGCAATGGAACCAAAAATTGAACCACAACTCGTGTGATGCGGGGCCTGTCTCTCCGTCTGTGTCCCTCCGTTTCGTTTGTAATTTTCTGCATGTCCTGAGCTGTCCTGGCTGCCCTGGCTGTCCTTGCTGGCTGCTAGCTGCTTGCTGCTTGCTGCTGGTTCCTCATTCTCTGGCTCCTGCTCTGCCTATAAATTAATTGACGCAGTTTTTTGCATTTACTGCTCTTTCGTTTGTCTTTTAATTTGCTTTCAATTCCCACCACCCCCCTTTGACACTGTTTCCTTTTCCTCTTTGCTTTACTATTTCCTTTTCTTACGTTCTCTTGTTGCTTTCTTGCTTTTTCCTCTACTTTTGGCACACTTTTCAGTTAGAATCACATTTACAAAATTCTATCAGGGTGTAAGGCCCACCAGCACCACAACCACCGCAATGGCCACCAGCAGCGACTGCGTCTGCGATGAGGAGGAGTTCCTGGGAGTGGGCAAGGGCAAGGGCTTGGTCCACGATGCGGGCCAGGATCAGGCGACCGAAGGTAGCGGTGGCACCTATTTCTCAATAATATTTTATTAAGCTTTTACTGTTCAATTTCCTCTGTTATTATTTTGTCTGTTGATTATTTTGATTTTATTTATTAGTTTTATGAATATTTTTCCATTTTTCCATGTCTATTTCGTTTCAATATTTTTGATTATATTTATTTAAATATATTTTTGGTTTTTTCTGCACTTTCCGTAATTATTTTTGTTTAATTTTTCATATAGTTTTTTTAGCGCTATTTTTTTGTGCATGAAATTTGTATAATTTTAGCTGCGATTTTATTATTTGGTTCCTTTAGGACCTCTTTATCTCTTGTGTTTATGTTTTTTTTTTGCCAACTAACAATGCTGCACATTCCAACACTGGAAGTGGCAGAGGACACAAATTAGCAGCCTTAACACTGGTCCGTGGGGCAGATGCATGCAGCTCATTAAAGCGGCACTAAATTCGAGGCACGTGCGGCAGCAACAACAACAACTAGGAAAAGGAAGAGAGAAAGCCAGCGAGCAAGCATGGAATGTAGTTAGCAGCTCATAAAACAAAGACAGGGAACGGGAACAGGAACAGGAACAGGAACAGAGGCAGAATAAGACAGTAACCGAAGCTGTAGATACTATTTGTATGCAAGGTCTTTGTGGGGTTTTTTAAGGGAACTTTGAGTTGCAAAAGAAAGGCACACAAAATACTATAAAGATATAAACTGTATGCTAAGTATTACATGTACATTCCCCCCGCTCATCCAACCAACCCATCCGCTGGATGTGCTTCTCTTTCCCCATCTCTTTCCTTCTCTCTCTCTCTCTCTCTCGCTCCTTTTTGCAGACCTCTCGTTGGCCTATGCACCCGTCATCGAGGACATCCGGCCCTTCCTGGGCATACTGGCGGGCATTGTGGGCAGCGTGTTCCTGGTGGCACTCATCATTGTGATTGTGGTGCGAGTGCGCGGCTCCTCGGGACGCGATCGCAATAATTACTCGCATCCGGGCAGCGGTGGCAGCGGTGGAGGCGGCACAGGAGGCGGAGGAGTGGCAGTCGCTGGCACGGGTGGACCTGCTGGCACCACAGCCAATGGCAATGGCAGCCTGGGCCTCCTCGCGAGCAACAACAATGGCAGCCTGGGCATCGGTGGCACACTGGCGCACAATGGCGGGCAATCAGTGCAGGATATGCATCGCATTGGCCGGGACACATGCCACGTGACGAGCAGCCTGGATAGCATTGACAAGAATCCGGACATCATACCACAAGGTGGGTTGGGTGAGTTCCACAGGTGTGCCCCCCGCGTGCCACCACAGCGTTCCCTCTCTCTGGCCAGCCCGCAACCTTATCCCACTCTCTTTGTGTCTTTCTCTTGCAACAGATGGCCACGACGTGGATGATGAGTGGACGACAACGAAGGGTCATAATCGCGCCTATGCCACGGCGGCGCTGGCCGAACAGAATGCCGTCATTACCTCCAGCACCTATGATCACCTGATGCCCACATATGCGGTGGTTGACAAGAAGACGGGGGGCTTACCCCCAGGCAGCGGTCATGGCCATGGCCCGTATATACAGTATAATACGCTTATTCCCGTTAGCAAAATGGGCGCTTACGCCAATCAACAACAGCAGCAGCAGCAGCAGCAGCATCCACACACACATCCGCACCAGCATCCGCATCAGCATCAACTCCAGGCTGGGCAGCAGCAGCAGCAGCAGCAGCAACAGAAGGTGGGTCCCCCCCCCTGCCTAATCCGCTCTTAGCTGGCGGGCAAACATTTAACCTTTTAACCCGAAGCCTGTGCCACATGTGGCAGGGAGCGAGAGAGAGAGACGAGACGAGACCCATCTTAATTTATGAGCCAATGGACACAGGCGAGCAAGGGCCTGGAGTGGGCTTTGGGTTGGCTGACGGGTTAAGTGGTTTTTATAGCCAGTTTATTGTTTAAGCCACAATTGATGGGCAGCCGCAGTGAATGGACCTCGGCCAGGTTAGCTGATTGACAACAACAACAAAAAGAAGACTGAAAGAGGTGCCAGTAGATGGCGAAAATGTATCTATAGCTGTTCGTATCTGTATCTTCAATGGCAGAACTTTTCTACAACGAACCCTGAAGAAAGGCACCATGAAGGTCGCCCAGGAAAACGAAAACAAAACAACAAAAATGCACACAAGTAGCGGAAATAAATGGACAGAAAGCGGGATAAATACATAGAGAGAAAGAGCGAAGCGAAGCAAAGACAGAGAATGGAACTATAATTTGAAAATCATTTAAGTAGAAATTTCCACGCTGTGTGTGTGTGTGTGTGTGTGTGTGTAAATGCCACGCCCAGCAGCCACAGCTGCAGCAATATAAATTTTCCATTTGCGAATTTAATAAAAATAAGTTGCAGGCGGACAAGCAGTGGCAGTGGCAGTGCTGCTGCTGGGACTCCAAAGCAGAAGTGGCAACCAGCAGAAAACCAAGAGAAAACGCTAAGGAGCCAAAGTATGCGCCGCATCCTGTTGTGTGTGTGTGTCTGGTGTCTGGAGTCTGGAGCTGCTGCCTCAAAATGCAATAAGCAGCCAAGGGTTGAGGTTGGGCAAAGGCAGGCTGGGGACTGTGTCGGTTAGCTGTTGAGGAGAGGAGGGGCAGACACATTACAAACAGACGCTGCATGTGTTGGGGCGTTGTCTGGGCGAGCACTGGCAAACTGAACAAAAACTGCAGTAAATAACTCTTAAAGGCTGCTAACGAATGCCGCTGACAGACAGTCCCATCGATGGCAGAGCACTCCTATTGGGTTACCTTTAACCACCTGACAATTAACCCAAAACTGATTGACGTGCCAGCGAGCTGTCTCTATCCCAATATCATTGTAATTTTCCCCTCTGCTCTTTTGTTGCAGACTGAACTCAGCTACAGCGATTTGACAGCACCCATGGTGGGGGTGGGTGGCAGCGCCGTGGGCGTTCAGCGCTTGGCGCCATACTGCAGCGCCACATTGGGCCGACCGGGCCGTGGACAGGCGGAGCTGAAGCGGGCCGAACCGAATATCTACTCGCAGGTAAATGTCATGATGGATGATGAGATTCTCGCCGACCTGCAGGCAGCCACAGCGGCCGGTGCCGGTGGCAGCTATGTGGCCGGGGCTGTGGTGGACAATGTGGGCGGACGGGGCGCCTCCCCATCCCTCTACCTGCAGGGCTATGCGACGCGTGTGTAAAAGGGTGCGCTTTAATGCTATTTTTATTTGTTGTTATTTACTTTTTCGTTTAATAAACTCAAAGAGTGCCTCCTGTGATTCGAGTGTGTTTCAGTTCTAGCTTCGGTTGCAGCTGCAGTGGCAAGTGCAGTGGCTTTTAATTACAATTCGCACAAAAGAGTCGAGAAAGGGCACTTGCCAAAATCAATTACATGCAAGCGGAGCTGCAGACACAGACAGAGACAGAGACAAAGACACTCGTGGCAAATCAATACAATGACAGCTGACACAAAGCCTAGCAGAATGTCATGCCAGCAGCAGCAATGACAGAAAATATTCCCGAAAATTACGCATACGCACGGGCGTGGAGTATTTAGGGAAGGAGCAGCTACAGAAGCTGTAAATCTGAGCTGTCAGATGATGAATGGGCCGGCCACAGAACAGTCAGCCAGAACTACTATTTAGAGCTGAAGGAATTTGCCAGACAGACACGGACACACCTCAAGTGTGTTGCAGCCAGCGTGCACCTTGTTCTTTGCTTGCGCTTGCCCCGCAATTATCGTAATGACTCGAGTTATGTGAATAGCACCGAGCAGCAGCACATGCACTTAAGTGGCAAATTTCAGGGCTCTGTGGCACTGCTGGAACTGCTGGAACTGTGCTGGGCCAAAGCATTTCCACCTAATGGACATTGTTTGGCTTTATTGTCATTTATTGGAAAGTTTTACACGACACGGCAGTAGTTTTGGCCAACAACAGCCAACACACACAGCACTGCCCGTCTGCCCGTCTGCCCGTCTGCCCACTGCTGCTGGCTGTTGTCCGTTTTGTTGAATTCAGTTTTTGCTTGTTGCTTGTTGTTTTTAATGGCAATTATTTGAAATTCGATTAGGTAGCAGCAGCACAGAACGATGCATCCTGCAGAGATCATTTTGTCGTTAAAAGTGTGTGCAGCCAAAACAGTTTGCTTAAATTAACTAACAGCTAACAGCTAAATGTGTGACAGGCAAATGGTGAAAGTTTGTGGCCGGAAATATGCTTCAGAGAGAGGGAAAACATTACTGCTGCCCTGCTCCTTTGTCCTCCCTCCTTTGTCTACTATTCAGCGTTAGGCAATGGCCAAAATTCCATTAAATTATGCAAGCCAAGACCCAAAAACATAACTTAATCAGCAGAAAGACACAGTTTAAATATTGCCACAAACTTGCTTGTGTCCCGAGTAAATGTGTCCACAATTTATGGCCTCTGCTCTGTTAAATGTTTACCAATTTGGCCAGCATCTTGCTCATTCGGCTGGCATTTGCGTTGTAATTTATAAACTTAATTTCATTAAAAGCTTCGTTCGGGCTGGGGCATAAATCTGGGGACAGATCCATAAACATTTGCACAGAACGTGCGGGGCAAATGTTGTGTTGCAAGGACGCTGCAGGAACCTCCTCTCTTCTATCCATTTCAACACCTGACTAACACCCTTTGCGCCATCTGTACAATATGAATCATCACATGACTAAAACCCCATTATCATTCTCTCTCGCCCGATCTCTCTCACTAACACCCACTCGTAGATCGATTTGGCACACCATCCCATGCCCATGTACTCGACCAGCCCGATGTTCGCCACGAATGGCGGCACCATCACCGGAGTCACCATGTCACATCCATCACAGTTGGCCACCTTCTCGCCAACGCCGCCGCCGCCCATCTTCACACACAGCGTGATGACCGCCACCGGCGAGGGTGGACTACTACAGCCGGTGACCTGCATGGGTCTTGTGGCAGCCACGTCTTCAGCAGCGGCAGCATCGGGACAGCAGCAGCAGCAGCAGCAACAACATCTCCACCACCAGACAACGGCCAATGGCGGAAACGGAAGCATTGTCGGCGTCAATGTGGGCATGAGCCTTTATGGCAGCGATGTGGTAAGTGGCAGTTTGATGTACATTCTCTCGGAAGCTCGGACTTCCCTCCACTGCCGCCCTGCCCCTGGCCCTGCCCCTGCCCAGTCACTTCCTCTTAATGTCCAAAACGTTGAAAGCATCAATATGCAAAGTGGATTTTCGGTGGCAAGGATTTGAAGCCCAGCCAGCAGGCAGCAGACTAAAGCAGGAAAACATTTATCTTTGGCCCGATTTTGTTTTCGCTTTTTTCGCCTTATAAATGGCAGCAGCCGCTGGGGCAGAAAATGGCTCTTTTTTTTGCGGTTCTGCGGCAGCGATGATAACAAACCTGTCGAGCAGGCGGGGTGGGGCAAGGGGGCAAAGCGGAAAGGGTACAGATTACTTTCATTTTGAAACCAACTAAAAAAGTGCTCAACAACTGTACTTTGTCTACCGCTATAGTGGTTAGATATCTGCCATTACAATCGATTGGACACTGCCACTCGAGAGAGCAGCGACTGGGACTGCCCATCGATCAACAGATGACTCAAATTCCAGGGCCCGCGCTCAGCCCTGACAATGCAATTTTCTGGCAATCCATAACCCTTGATCCCCTTTTGCACAGACAACTTGAAACTCAGTTGATGCAAAAAACAGCAAACAAAAAATGCATTCATTCATTTGGGGAAGGTTCTGAGAGGTTCAGAGTAAATGACCTCGGAATGTGGCACACAGAAATGAAAGCAGAAACAACAGCAAAAAGGAACTCTTTCGCTGTCTCTCTGCCTCTTCCTTTGTCTCTCTCATTCACATTGTCGCTGTCAGTTTGGGCTTTATAAATATGCCATTATCTGTGGTCCTGGCCTAGCGCAATGCGTTTCCAGCTGCTCCCAGAACTGCTCCTGGCTGTGGCATTGCATTACCCTGCAGAAAGAGAGCAAAGAGCTGCAGACGACTCGACATGGAGCTACCTTGGAGTACAAAGGGTAAACCCTGCCTGGCATACCCTTGCTTTGCACGGTGCAACATCAAAAGTTTACGCTCTTTTTTTTCTCTGAACAACAGTTCCTTGCCAAAAGGACACTGCGGTGTGGCAACTTTTGACTCTAATGATTGCAATTATTATGACCCGAATAACAGGGCCAAAAGCACAAACCAAAAATGAACAGCAAAAAGGCAACAAAAAACGAGTCGAAACAATGTTTTATTTCACATTTTTCCACATTTTTTGTTGTGTCCTCACGGGTTGTTCCCTCAACCCTACCGCTGCCCGCCCATTTCTTGAGCTTCCCAAGGGGCAGGACACGACTGACTGTTGACGCTTTTTGGCCCGCGGCGTTGGCTGTGTTTTAGCCATTTCTCTGCACTTTTGTTTCGTTTTTTGTGTGACTTTCTGTTTGGATTACACTCGAAAAAGCGCGCAAATATTGCATGTACTTGGGGGTTTGTGCAGGGTTTGGACCGTTTCTCTCAGTGCTCAGTGCCTGCTCGAATGATGTGCGCCTCGTTAATTTCTGAAGGAGACGCCGCGCGCGGCTCTCTCTCTTTAGTGTTTCATTTGTGCCCCAGATGCTGCCCCTAGCGCGACACTTTTGTGTCATCCTGATGTCTCTTGTGTCTGCCTGTGTAATAATCGTTTAAGCATCCACAACCACAGCTACATCCACGCTTACGTGTCTTTCAGGGTGTCAAGCCGCAGCTGCTGAAGACTGTGCCCGAGGAGATGCACCATCAGCTGAATGGCGAGGACGTGCTGATCGCACAGGATCGTAATCATGGCACTGGGACACGCTTCTGACGCTAAGCCTTGAGGAGTGGAGAGAGCAGCAGCAGCAGTCGAACGTAGAGGCTGCCAGCGAGGAACACACAGCGGGAAGGATCAGCCAAATCAAAACTAAGAATAGAAACCCACAGGAGGGTGTTATAATTGGTAAACAAATTGACTATAAGTTGTATGTGATGGCGGCAGGAGTCTAAGGATTGGTTTTTAAAAGGAGTCCTGGCACGGGCACGGCCATTAGAGATGGCTAATGGTTAACGGAAGGACGAACCTAGGAGCTAGGAGCTAGTTAGGGCACTTTTTAAGCGGCACAGTAGATGGATGGAAACCTGTAAAAAGATAACAATAAAAACAAAACAAGTTTTGCATAAAAGCGGAAGCCAGAACGGAAGCCCACTTAGTCCTGTAAGATGTCGTGTAAATTATGGAATACAATTAGCATTAATAGCTCCTAATTATGGCTACAAAAATTAATAAACATTTTGCAGCAGAATTGTTAATATATTTTTAAAGCAAAGAGCAAGCAAGGGAAAAGCTAGGAGAGAGGAGAGAGGAAACAGCAGCTTAAAGCGGCAGGAAAATGTGTGTGGAAAGTGAAGTTTAGTTAAGTAAATCAATTCGTGAATGTTGTTAGCCCTTTCCTTGGTTCGTAACTCCCAGAGATTAAACTCGACACTTGTCAGCTTGTAACTAAGCCTAAAACTAAGCTAAAACTACACTTAACAGACAGATAAATCAAAGCCAAGTAGAACTAAGACCCAACCCCCCCCCTAGCTTAGGTCGAATTGTAATTAAAAGAAGCGTCGAGAAAAGAATTTAAAGGAAATGTAGTCGTTAAGGTGGCAGCAAATTCCAGTTTGCATTTTATACGTAACACAAAATGGACAACAAAACAATGGAAGCAAAGAACGAACTCTAGTTTAAGCCAACTAACACTAGTACTAGTACTAGCTACTAACTACTAAATGGAGGCAAACAGTTGAAAATTAAACAAGCCACAAGAATAAGACAACAAAATAAAAGAAATAATTGAAATAAAATAAAAATAAAATGCCAAGCAGCTGCATGTAAAATATTTAAAAAAAAAAAAACACTGACGAATGTAATAAGTTCTAGGCTAATGTTAATAACAATTAAAACTAATAAAATGTATGAAACGAAAGGGAAGTTTGGGAGTTGGGATTTGAAGGAGAAAGGAGCGTGGAATGGATGGATCTATTACGCCACTAAAGTGGAAATATCTGCACTTAGCGACAGTCAAGAAAAGTGCACGAGAACTTCATCAAATCAAAGAGAGCTCCTACTTCTTCCTACCAGTTGAATGACCTCGAAAAACGGAAGTAGGATCCACTAGTTCTTACCTTTGTGGAGCCACCAGTGGCCCAAACATTTTGCAGGGACACCAAACAATCAAATGTTGCACGGATGTTCCAAGGAAGGCTCCGAGGAAGGCACTGGAGGAAAGGAACTGTAACAGGAGCCAGAAATGGCGCATGAGGTGGCAGCTGGGGGGATTTGCCTAGTAGCGCAGCAATCGGGTAAATATTGACAGGCCGCGTAAGCAAACACACGGAAACGGAAGTCAAGCTGAGCGACATGACCGCAAAGGAACAACAAAAGTAACAGCCGCAACGAGGACAAGCGAGGAGGAGCGAGAACAGCGAGCACCAAACCTGGGCCGATACATCGTTCAAAAACGCTGTCACAGTGCCTGCTGCGGCATGTGGCATGTAAATTTTGTATGCGAAAGCACTTAACACCATTTTCGCTCAAGCAAATGCAAACAGGGAAGCAGAAGCAGCAGCAGCACCACAAATGAGTAGGTAGTGGGCCAGGTGGAACGTACCACAGGAGTCACACAGATCATAGTGCTGCTGCTTAGTATCAGCAGTTATGAAAAGGTACACACACACAGCGACCACACACACCACACCACACCACAGCCACAGCCACACTCAAAGTAAATTATGCAAATTTTGACCGCTCGATGGGCGTCGATGACTTGTACATTTTGGGATGGCAGCCTCCCAGCTTCCAGACTGCTGTTTAGATTTCCTTGGCAGATATGCTGCCACACGGTACATACACGCTATATGCCTATGCATTTACCTTTGTGTATGTGTGTGTGTACCACAAATATTTGGCACGCGATGAGGCTGCCCGAAGGAACGGCCGAGTGTCAGGCCACAAAACCACACCAAGCCATGCCACACCATGCCACCACACACAAGCAGTGGGCGTGTGCGCCAGCAAAGTGCCAAATTTACCCACCAAATTGAAATCGATTAATCAAAATACACCACATAAATTATAAATTAAAAGCCTGTTTATGCTGCCAGAGAGACAGTCTCCAGGCAGCAGTCAGCAGCCTCCCTCTCAGTTCTGTGTTTTGTGCCATCAATCAGGCGCTACACTGTGCAGCACAACAATTAAGCGACACAAAAGTCACAACACAGGAAATGAAAATGTAAATGCCTACCGGCCTACCTGCCACCATGCTGATGACATAAAAATGCCATTCCAATTGCAATTCTAAATTCGCAAATAAATATTCAATGTGCGATTGAAATGTAGATACGTTTAGTGGGGGGGGCAAGCGACATACAATGGAACATTCAAGAGACAATACAGCCAGCCGGCTTATGGCAGGTACCATCAATGACCATCAATCGCGGGAGACAACTAAAAAGGCAAAAAAAGTAACAGAATGAATAATATTTGAATGAAAAAAGTAAGAGAATTAATAAAATTGCAGCTAAAAAATATAAATCACAAAATGCCAAAGCCTCTGCCTGCGCCACGATCTATTTTCATGGATAAACGTTGCAAAATAATCTCTGGTTGCCGTTCTAATAGCAATTTCCAAATCGAAGAACAATCAATAACCTGCAGCCGTACTCCTATTTTGTGTGTAGTTTCTTTGCCCCAAAAAGTGATGGATCGATTGATGAAAAGTTCATGTATTTATGCAACATTTGCTTTTAATTGATTGTCGCGAATGACAAACGAGTTTCACTTCGCTTGATGTATGCCCGCGGGCAGCTAATAAAAACTTGTTGTGTGTCCCATGCAACAAAACGTTGCATGCAGCAATTAATGGATATTCTTTGCCTTCTGCCTGTTGTTGCCGTTTTGCTCTCTCTCTCTCTCTTTCTCTCTCTCGTAAGCCGCTATTAATGCACAGCCGCTTCAGCCTGTCCAGTCTGTCTGTTTGTCGGACTATCTGTCTGTCAGGCTGCGGCTGTACTGCAGTTTGTCTGATTTATAAGCCAACACTTACAGCAGTAAGGGAGAGGGAAGGCCGCTGAAACATTTTCTTACCACTGATTTATTTACATTTAAGCAATTTCGTCGCCATCGTTGTGAAGTTTTCGCAGACGGAAACGTGCAGCATTGCAACCGGAAATTGGCAACAAAAAGAGAAGAGGGAGAGCGAGAAAACTCTGGCACGGCCTCCATTTACCATTCGCTCGCTGTAGAGCCAAGGACTGACTGAGGGGCATCCCGAGTCCAGGGTCCAGTGAAGATTAATGCCGGCGCTTTTATTGTTTGGTCAGTTGTACCCTTCCACCCCTGCCTGCCATCCCTTTGCTGAAATTTATATCGTAAATAAAAGTGACAATGAAAATAAAGAAAATATTTTTTAACTGTGAAGAGCTTGCAGCGGGTAAATAAAGACAACAACAACAAAAACCAAGAGCTACATAAAAATGCACATGAAAAAGTGGAGTTTACTTTGGAAAGGTGCGCGAGAGGGAAGGCTGATAGTGCCTGGAAGAAGTTTTGGCAGGCATAGAAAGTATAATTAAAGCAGAAAGAAACTTCTCTTGGTCGTATAAGGGTAGAGGCTTAAGGGATTATTGTGAGCGTTGCCAATTTATGGCAGACTGTCGCTTCAGGGAGTTGTGGTAAATATCTCTGCACGCAATCGAAATGAATTCTTTATAAAATAATTAAATCAATTCAATTTCTGTGCAACTTGTATTATTATATTTCTCCTGTATGGCCCACAAATTTCGCCACAAAATTAAACACTAGAATCCTCAATCCCATTTGGCATTCAACTCCTGGCCGCAAGCCCCGCCCGGTGTAATGTGTAACAAATCTACGCAAATTTCTGGGCAAACAACACGGTGACACATGGCTGAGGGAGGGGGAAGTGGGTGCCCGGATGTGGGGACACATTTGAAAAGGTTAAATAAATTGCTGGATCCAAACATATGCCTGCGGGCCATAAATATTTGGGATGCCAAAGCAAACAGCAGGAGAGAGAGAGGGAAAAAAGGGTTGAGCGGAAGAGAGTGAGAGCGATAGGCAGGGGAGTTGGAGGGGTAACAAATGCGTGTATCCATTTACATAGAAAGTACCTGGCGGCGCATATTTCCTGCCACCCACCCCCTGCCACACCGCGGCACACCGTGCCACACGCAGCGCTTCCGTCTCTGGTTAATATGGCGGCGTCAAAACAACATTATGTAAACTCGGGCCGGGGGCCGGGGACAACCGGAAGTATATCTGTATAAAATTCCACACAAATACGCCCGAAATAAACACACACACACACACAGAGGCACAACGAATGGTTACTCAGTGAAGCACAGTGCGGCGTATACGCAATAAACATAAAAATTTTGAAAAGCATTTCGGCTCTGCCAGTGATTTCGCTTTTGGGTGTTAGGGTCTCCCCTATGCCTTTGCTTTATGCCCCCCAGAGGTAGCAAATTATTTTTTTAGTACCTTATTCAATGCGCATTAGGCGCACACAGCTCACAGGAGTTCATGGCTGCTCCTGGCTGCTCCTGGCTGCTCCTGGCTGCTGCTGGCTGCTCCTTTCAGTTGTAAATTCTGCAAAAAAGGTGCGTGAACTCGAAGCTCACTTTGCGGCAAAACGAACTACCAACTAATGTGGCCACTTCTCTGGCGGCAAGAGAGAGATACTTCATTTGCATATGCTTTACATTCGCTGATGGCTTAACGGAGGGTTCGAGTTCCCCCATGCCCTTTCAGGTGTGCGTTTAACGATTATGGATAGTTTATGGCCCGCAACGCATTCGTCAGTCAAAACAGTTGTACGACGAAGTGTGAATGAATGAGCCTCCCTTTTACATGAACTCTTCTAAACATTTTCGCACAATTTTCAAGCCTTTCCCTGCAGCTCGACTCTCGCAAGCCTCTCTCTGTCGCTTCTCCCCATTAAAAACCAATTAGCGCCATTTGTTTCGAGCATTTATTTGCACATGTTCTGTTTGCCTACCTTTCTGGCTTCTATTTCTGTCAAATATATGTGAATGGATGAGTGCTGTGCAAGCTAATTATAATTTTGAATGTACGCGCAAATTGAGGCACTTCGAGGGTCCCGAAACCGCAGCAGCACTGCCTGGCATTGTCCCTGTCAATTGACCAGAATCAAGTGGCTTAATAATGCATTTTCTGTATTCATTATGCTGATTGAATGTTTTCGTCC